GGTGGGAGGTGATGAGTGAAGGGTGGGGGCAGATGGTGGGGGGAGACGGGTGAAGGGTGGGAGTGGATGGTGGTGGGTAATAAATGGTGGTAGGTGGTGAAGTGGGAAATAGCAGTAGATGGTAGCAAGAGAAGGAAGGTGGCAAAAAGTGGCAGTGGTGCTAAGGGGCAAAGATGGTGGAAATCCTGGGCAGTGGTGACTTCTGCTTATGCCCCAGCCCTCTGCCCTTCCCTAGGGGACCCTGGTCCAGCTCTTGGACTGTCAAATTCTCTGACGCTGTGGCTTGTTCCTTTGCAGACTCCATCGGGGGCCCCTTCCCTGTCACCTCTCACCGATGCCACCACAAGCAGAAGTACTGCCCACCGGTGCTGCCCGGTGGGGGGCTCCCGGCCACGCCACTGCTCTTCCACCCACATACCAAGGGCTCCCAGATCCTCATGGACCTCAGCCACAAGGCCGTCAAGAGGCAGGCCAGCTTCTGCAATGCCATCACCTTCAGTAACCGCCCGGTCCTCATCTATGAGCAAGTCAGGCTGAAGGTGGGGCCTCCCTCCCTGTTCCCGTCACTGCGTCCCCCTGGGGCCTCTGGACGTTCCTGCCAGGCACCGCCTTCTGCTAACAGCCATCACTACCCCCTGCCCCTTCTCTTTCCTCCCTACCGCACTTCTACCCTTCTTCATCCCTCCTCTTTCTCTCTCCTCCTCCTTACTCCTTTCTCAACCTTCCCTGCATGACGGAGAAGGAACGGGAGAGGGGAGTGGCCATGGGGAGGTGATGGGAGATGATGGTGGGAGGTGAGAACTAGCTCTCACTCGACTGGTGGGGGCTCCTGGGGGAGGGAGAGGAGCCCAAATAGCGGGTGAGCTGGGCGGTGTGACTCCCCATAGGAGTCTGTCTGGGGGTGGTCTGCAGTGAAGGGCACAGCCCCTTCCCCTTGGGCTCACTGACGGCGTGTCTGAGGCCAACCCCCTGCCGCCCAGATCACCAAGAAGCAGTGCTGCTGGAGCGGGGCGCTGCGGCTAGGCTTCACGAGCAAGGACCCATCCCGTATCCACCCTGACTCACTGCCCAAGTACGCCTGCCCCGACCTGGTGTCCCAGAGCGGCTTCTGGGCCAAGGCGCTGCCCGAGGAGTTTGCCAACGAGGGCAACATCATCGCCTTCTGGGTGGACAAGAAGGGCCGTGTTTTCTACCGCATCAACGACTCGGCCGCCATGCTCTTCTTCAATGGGGTCCGTACAGCCGACCCGCTCTGGGCCCTGGTGGACGTCTACGGCCTTACGCGGGGCGTCCAGCTACTTGGTGAGTGCCCACTCCCTCTGGCCCCTTAGGTGCAGGGCACACTTCTGGTGCTGTGGTCTGACTTGACTTGGTTCTATCAGGCATGGGGCTCCCTCCCCCACTGGTAGCAGCCCTGGGGCTGACTGGGCACTGGGACAGCTCTGGGAGCCTTGATGTGAACTGTAGAGCATCCCTTCTTCCAGGCCCACAGCTGTGGCAAGTGGAGCCTGGCGAGATTTCTGCCCTCTGTGGTCCCTCAGGTTGTGCCTTTGAGCCGTGTGCGACCTTCATGATCATGTGTGGCAGCCTCAAAGACCCCCTCACCCCCAGGAAGTAATTAATATTAATCATCATAACTACAGTTTATAGAGCACTTACTGTGTGCCAGGCACTTTGTTATTGCCGTTCTCGTAGCAACCCTGGGAGGCAGACTCCGTCACTGGGCCCGTGGAGGCCAGCCTCAAGCTCAGGGAAGTTGTCATTGGCCCTAGGAGGCGCTGCAAGGCTCAGCCCCAGGTGAGCCCTGGCCCCTGGGCTCTGCAGCCTTCCAGGAGGTCCAACCCCACCTTAGTCCTTTTTGCAGGGATATGGGTGAAAGGGGTAGGAGGGGACAGCAGAAGGCACGAGGGGGGCTAAGACTCTTCTGGCTGCTTCTGGGCCCCCAGTGTGAGTAAGGCTACTACAGGGGAGTGAGAGGGCAGACATCCTGTGGGAGGTGAGGAGGAGGGACATTAGAAAGTATTCTAGGGCTGCTAAAGTACCAGGCTTCCTGGCAAGGGCACACACAGACCCTAAAATGCCAGGGCTGGAAGGGGCCTCAGAGTCTCAGACTTCCTTGGGTCTCACAGCGAGTTGGTGGCTGAGGTGGGGCTGGAATCCAGGTCACCTGACTCCTAGTCCAGGAATCCCACTTTGCTGCACTTGAGCATGTGTAGGCAAGTGTGTGTGCATGTGTACACATAGACTGGGTACAGGTCAACCCATTGGCAAATTGGCTGTGTCTCCAGGAGGATCCTGGATGAACCTCAGATCTTCCATCTGTAAAATGGGTTGGTAGGAAAATTAAATCCAACTAAAGAGGCTATGAGTAAAGTGCCCAGCATAGTCCTGGGTACCAAGTCGATGCTCAAGCCAATGTTTGCTCTTCCCATCTCCCATCCCTGCCCCACATCCCTGCAGAGAAAACTGCCATGGAGGTGGTGGAAAAACGTTTTTTCTTTTTTGTCCTTTCTGACTTCAGAGCCTAGAAACAGTGAAGCTCTTTTTTTTCAGAACACTTTTATTTGAGTAAAAAGATAGTTAAAAAGGAAAAAGACTGTGAAAGTAAAAACAAAGAAATGAGTAATCGTTAGAAGTCTTTCTGTGTGAAGGAGGGATCCGTGTCTTACCCAGCTAGTTTCCTCTCCAGGGTGGAATCTTGTGCCTGGTGTGTACAGGACCCTGAGGAATATTTGCAGTGTGGGTAGGGGAGAGTGGTGGGATGGATGTTAGATGAAGGAAAGGGTTGGGGGCGTGGCCGAGGTAGACCCAGCCCCACTCACAGACAGCCTCAGGCTCACTGGGAGACAAAGCAAATACTCCAGAACAATCAGGGCATAACCCAAGAGACAACAGTTAATCGCTGAACACTGTGGTCATAGGATCTCATCCATTTGCCAAGATGGTTTCCATCCAGTTATCTCATTTCACCTCCCAGCAGCTGGCCCTGGAGGGAGTGATTATTATCCCCATTTGTCAGGGAGAAAATTGAGGCCCATGGAAGGCCTGTCCTGTCCGTGTATCGGTGTGGCAGAGCTGGGACTTGAACTGGGTGTTCTAATGCCCAAAGTAGTACCTTTCGCATTACCTGCCCCCTCCCCATCCGGCCCCCCCACCACCAGCAGCCGCGGTGGGTTTAAGCAGGAAGTCAGAGGAGGCTGAAGTCAGTGTGGGAGGATGGAGTCTAGGAAGGCTTCTTGGTGGAGGAGGCTTAGGCTGGGCTTATAAGTTCCAGGAGGGTTGGGATGGGGGTGAGGATGAAGGGGACCTACTGAGTGAGATGGGGCTTCCAAATCTCAGGGGCTGAGGGAGGGGCTTGGAGAGTAATCTTGAAGGGCCCCACCCTGGGGCAGAGCCCAGGCACTGACCTGGCCCAGCCTCTGACTATAAATGGGTTTTCACGCAGTATTTTCAGTTGCATTTGGATTTCCTGTCAGCCTCCTCTCCGTATACCCAATAAGGCCAAGGCCCAGCTGATTCCCGGCACAGCTGTAAATCACCATAATCCCCGGGCATTTTAAAACACTGATTATGGCCCCTAACATGAATTAGCAGGTTAAAATAGCTCCTCGATTTGCTCTTCCTAAATTGATTTTTTTTTGTGAAGAAAGGAGAGACGCACCCACGTTATCTTCGGAGGTGGGCCTGCTGCTCTATGCTCTCATTCCGCGCCCCTGCCCCCGGGACACACCTGCTGCCCTGTATAGGCTCAGGGTCCATTTCCCTCCCTCTCCTCCCCACTTCTCATCTCCCCCTCTCTCCTCACCTGCCACATCACTGCACCTGTGTCTTCCTGGGCCTCTCTCTCCCTCCACCCAGATCCCACCGGCTCCTCTGCTTTCCCTCATCTTCCTCCTCAGCTGAGTTTCTCCTCTGAAGAAGTCACTCTCTGTCTTGGGGGCTCTGAGGATGGGCCTGTCTTTCCTGGGGTGATTGTCCCCCAAAACCGTGGCTCATCTTTAGAGATTACCTGCCAGAGGCCTGCCCCCTCCCCTCTTGCCTCCACCTGGAACCTGTGGCCAAAGCCCTCTGAGCTCCTCAGCCCAGAGACATCCTGGGCTCCCTGGCACATAGTAGGTCCACAAGTCAGGCCATGGACAGATTGGCCGTCTTCCCGCCACAGAGTGGAGGTAGGGGCTGATGTCTCTCCTTGATTGACACCTCCAGGTGGGGTCCCCATCCCCACCTCCCACTGCCCTAACCATCACCTAGGCCCCCTGATGCCCGTGCCATGGCCCCGGCAGACCTGCTTCAGGCCTTCCAGGCTCCCTGTTATGCTGGAGTTCACAGCAGATCACCCTCTTCCCTCCGGGCACCCTGGCCCAAGCCCGGGCTGGTATCTCCAAGAATAACAGCTTCCTACCTCCAGGAAGAAGGACCTGCCAGCAACTAAATAAATACAAGTTTTATGGGGTGGTTAGTACTTGGAGAGATAAGTTCCTATCCCAGTTTTCAAGGTCTCCCTCCTCCTCTCAGAAGTGTCGGTTCAGGAAGAGCAGCTGTGGATCCTGGCAGAAAGCTCGTGAGCCAGGAATCCATTTGTAGGGTGTTCCTGCGCACCCCGCTGTGCCCACCACAGCCTAGGTGCTGTGCAGGGGTCGGGGGAGACACTAGAATTGGAAACCCAGCCCCTCTCCTTAAAGAGTGTTTCTATTGGGGGACATGCCGTATGACTGCTCTGAGGTGACCTAAATCCAATACCGCAAAAAAGTGTGGCTGAAGAATAAAACTGGGGTGGGGTGGGGGGGTGGTGCAGCTGGGGAGCAATCCAGAAGGACTTCCTGTAGGAGATGAGTTTCAAGTCAGAAACCAGGGGAGGTGAAAAGAATGGACTGGTTGAGGAGGAACAATTTAGGCCAGACAGGAGGGGTGTGCATTGGCACAGAGGTGGGGAATTGGCGGTCAGTCGGGGAGCAGATCCTTCAGGGGATGGGATGAAGTGGGAAGGTAGTGGATGACTAGCAGAGAGCAGGTGTGTGCTGGTGTGGGTATGCTCAGGCATCACAGAGGAGAGAGCCAAGAGAGTAGAAAGTTTCCAGCAGCTTCTTGCTGTCAAGTTTTTCAGTAAGAGGAAATGTGGCCCAGAGATGGGGAGGGGCCTACCCAAGTTCTCCCAACTAGTCAGAAGCCAGGCTGGGCCTGGGATTCAGACCTCCCAGCTGACGTGGGCACAAGGTCAGTGTGAGAAGACTTACTGCCACATCAAGATGTCTGTGGCTGAGCCCAGGAGGGTGTTAGGAGGCCATTAGGGGGGCTCCCAAGGACTCATGGTGTCATCCTAGGTCTTGGTAAAAGAACCCACCTGCCTACTGAGGAGAAGGATGTACAGAGACCCTCAGGGTAGCTTTCTGGGGGCCAGGCTGCTGCTGCACCAGTCTCTGGGGTGGTGGGCCAGCCTGGCTGCTCCGCATTGAGAGGCCTGGGCCTCTCCGTAGATAAGGCCTGGGGTCAGGTCTCTGTCCCGGGCGTGCCTCAGCTTGTGGTACAGAGCGTGAGGCATCCCGGCCGGCTAAGGGCCACACTGCCATCTGGGGCTTCCGCTTCCCAGGCTAAACCAATATTTACCTTCAGCTGTGGCTGCCAGGGGCTGAGAGGCAAATATTGGCTTAAGGAGCCTGAGCCAAGCTCTTGGGATGGAGAACGAGCTGAGGATGCTGACAGTGATTTCTTCCTTTTTGATGGTTTTCATTTCTTTCTTTCTTTTTTTTTAAAAATTTTATTTATTTATTTATTTTTGGCTGCGTTGGGTCTTCATTGCTGTGCGCAGGCTTTCTCTAGTTGCGGTGAGCGGGGGCTACTCTTTGTTGCGGTGCGTGGGCTTCTCATGGTGGTGGCTTCTCTTGTTGCGGAGCACGGGCTCTAGGCGCGCGGGCTTCAGTAGTTGTGGTTCGCGGGCTCTAGAGCGCAGGCTCAGGAGTTGTGGCTCACAGGCTTAGTTGCTCTGCAGCATGTGGGATCTTCCCGGACCAGGGCTCGAACCCGTGTCCCCTGCATGGGCAGGTGGATTCTTAACCACTGCGCCACCAGGGAAGCCCTTCATTTCTTCTTCGTTAAAAAAAAAAAATCTTGCTGTTCTTTCTGCTTCGGAGACTCTTCCAGGTGCTTCTTTTTTGCTCACCTCAAATTCTGCCAGTTATGTCAAGGCCCAGTACCAAACCCTCCCCTCCACCAGGGAGCCTTCCCTGACTTACCGTGTTCTTCATGACCCTTCCTCTTCCTGAAGCAAGTGGGGGTCTAAGCAGTATCAGCAGTTCTGCATCATA